ATATTTGCGTTCCCTTTTGCGTTCTCTCGCAAAGATATTTTGCGTTCCCTCGCAAAACTTTTGCGTTCTCTCGCAAAAGATATTTGCGTTTTGCGAGGGAACGCAAAAGTTTTGCGAGAGAACGCAAAAAATCTGACAAATATTTTTTCCTCCCATCCCAAATGTTTTCACTCAATCTGATTTTTTTCCACCACCGTGTCCCTTTAGGGGCTCCGTAGGACACACTTAAAGTGTTGTAAAAACGCAAAGCGTTTACAGAGTTTTATTATTATTTTCAATACTTTGCATTTTAAAATCAACTTATGTTGACTCGAGGTTTCTCGAGGGAACGCAAAAGTTTTGCGAGAGAACGCAAAAAAAATTTCCCTCCCACCCCGAATTTTTTTCCCACCACCATGTCCCTTTAGGGGCTCCGTAGTGTCCGATCAGGTAATGAAAAGTTGTACACACACTTGTGGTCTGGTCTTCATGCTCACTTGAACACTTGGGCCAAATACAGGAAATACGTCATATAAGTAGTCAAGAGGTCAAGTGCAAAGACCACAAGTGTGTGTGTATCAATGTCTGTTCAATAGTCCCTATAGATGACACAATTTAATTAAGAGATAAAAAGCAGCTGCAAATGTTGTACAAAAATAAATATACTAATCTTTGCAGCAATAAAATGTGTAGCACTTTGTTTTACCACCAAATTATATGTAATATCTTATTATTATTAATATTTAACTTACATTGGAAAGGTGTCCGTGACCTCTCGCGTGATCTTGGCAAAAAGTCTCACGATTTATTTCCAGAACATGATGCATGATGGGATACACTAAGCCTCGAATAGTGCTCCGGAGCGGTATTCGACTAATATTTAACTTACATTGGAAAGGTTTCCGTGACCTCTCGCGTGATCTTGGCAAAAAGTCTCACGATTTATTTCCAGAACATGATGGCATAATGGGATACAATAACCCTCGAATACCGCTCCGGAGCGGTATTCGAGGTAGTGTGGGTTTAGTGTGCGTTAAGGGCACTGCGCTTTGGTATTTTTAAGACCTGGGACAGTCTTGCACACTTACTTCCTGTCGCGCACACGCGCTCTCAAGTGGCCAAGACCGCAAGTGTGGGTATTTGGACAAGGGGAGTCTCTCTGAGAGCAGCTCGGAAGATAGGGGCGGGGTCAGCATTGCTCATTAACATTTAAAGGAAAATGCTACAAAATCGGCTTGATCTGAAAAGAACTGTTTTTGACAGGATAAAAAGGTGTTTTTTACAATACCGTTGAGAAATTTTAACCAAACTATGTTACAGACTTTTCATTAAGACCCTAAAGAATCATATCAACTTGTGGAAAATGGGCATCCTATGACCCCTTTAAGTAGGTCATATAATGCTATTTTAAAGATCATTATTTTGTGTATTTGGTGTAACAGAATATGTTGACATGCTTTAATGTTCAAAAAACACATTATTTTTCAAATACTGTACATTATTGTAGGTCCTCTATGCCCCGCCTCTCTCAAAC